CTTGTTTATACGTGGGACGTGTTGTGTAATGCAAAATCGTAGGAAAAAGATGTGAGAACCGTCATTGATTCAGAAGTTCGCAGATGAAGAGCTGATCTTCAAGATAATAATAAAGGACTAAATTGCTGATTTCTTTGTTTGTTTATATACATCACTAATGAAGAAACGGTATGAAACAAGCCATTCAATACTTTTCTGTCGACATATTTTATGCAATAATGGATAGAACAATGTACCTTTTGTATACGATACAAGTGCTTGATGTGATTCATACGTTCGTTCAAAATTTAAACAAAACTTTTTATCACTTTCAGTAATAAAAAGTTCTATTGGTTCTCTCAACCAATCTTGTTTCGATAATTCATTCGTCTTTTCGTCTGTCATATCAACAATAAGATCAACAAACAATAAAAAATATAATTTATAAGACATATCAACACGACCGTAATATACATTAGCTGTTCGTTCAGGTTCTTGATTATCACCATTTCCAGTTGTTAGTTTAAATGGAGTAAAAACTGTTGATGATTTTCTCCCCTCTCTTTTTATGAATCTCGTGTACCATCTTTTCCCCGACGACCTTTCTATTGTTATATCAGGAGCATTAGAAAAAAGATTTTCACACAATATTATCGAACTTAAAGAAACAGCAGAAATTGCGATCAGAATCCTAGCTAAATATGCCGAAGACCTTATTTTACTAGTGAACATTCAAAAAACAAAGTAAATGCTGGTGCTTTCTATGCATATACATCTAATAAGAAACTTATATAATGCACTAAGAATAATTATTCCAATAATTTTTATAAATATAACATTGTATATTATTCTTTTCACCTCATTTTATTTATTTATTTTCAATACGGTTTTTTTACTAATAGTCAACAACAATACATCGAACACGTTATTCGGAACTAAGAGCTGTTCATAACTTATATAATTCGAATGACACAATCGCTATGCGTGACTTCAATCAGAGTTTTTAATGCAAATTTTTGCAAAAAACGAAATGTGTCTGACTAATAAAAGTAACCTGGAAATTGCAAGAATGCTGTTTGTAGACAATAGATATTTTGAGAATTTTTCATCAGTATTAATGGCAATGATTTCATGGTTTGGATAGAATGTCTGGATATTTACCATTGTTAAATTTGTGAAATCTCAAAATCCCACTATATTTATCTTCGGCTTTTGTTTACTATAACGTTTAATCAAATCATTGTAGGCCACTTCTAGACCTGACGCTGTATTTAACGTATTTTTGTTTTCTTTCTTCTCTGCTATTTGATATTTTTTTTTGAGTTTTTACAAGCTGAGCGATTACGAACTGGCGGTAAATAACTGGTCCTATTTTAGAGAAAAGTTTTAACTAAAAAACATCAGATAGCAGAGAAGAAAAAAGAAAACAAAAATAGGTTAAAAACAAGTGTAAAAAGTCATTTTTTTTTATAGAGGTTTTGGAAAACTCACTCAAAACCTATGAAAAACCTATCCTATCGACACATAAATAATGCCATTAGAAAGTAGACA